GAGTATTATTTGCTAAATATACTGTGGAGGTACACTAAGATTTGTTGGTATTTTTATCCACCAACTTTTTGGACAAAATGTATTCAAAGCTTCATTGGCATATTTTATTTTGATTCATTCTTCTGGATTACATTGGTTTATTACTCTGGTCACTAACCCTATGTTAAGTTTTAGCAAAACACAAATTTTTAGCAAAAGATAATCTTTCTAATATATTTTTTGTAACTTAAAATGTAAGAGACTAAAAGTTTAAAAGAAAAATAATATTTTCTCTACTGTCCTGACCTTTAAGAAATAATTAATGACAATATTTAGTGTTTTTGTTCATAATCTTTGACAGCATATAGCATGTTTAAAAGTTCAATCATCAATGTAATTTAGAATGATTTAACTGATTTGATGGATAGATTTAGAACTAAAGCTACAAAAAGAGTAATTTTTGGTGATTTTGCATGTCACTCCAAAATACTAGCATTGGCAATAGTTGTTAGGCTCAAAACAATAAGTATTAACTCAATATTCCCAGCTTGTTTTGCTACCAAACTAAGAGCACAAGGTTAAACAGAGAGAGATTTCAAAGGAAAAAACTCTGAAATTTAATATATTGTCAATTTTACATCAAGTTGATTTAGTGTTATTGTTAGACAAAGATGTAAGTAATAAAGAAACCACCAGATAGAATTTTTTTTTTTTGGGGGGGGGGGGTCATACCTCACAAATTGTTTTTATTAAAATCTGTAAGTTGGGTCCTTTAAAATGACAGTTTGGTTGTGTAAAGTTGTGTAATTTGTTTTTCCATTAGCCTGTGTGAACCACGATTTGAATATTAAGCTTTAATATAAGCAATTACCATAACTACCAATAAATGTGATATTTGCATTTTGGTGCCTGAGTTCCTGTTATCTTACCAACAGGGTTAAAAATGAAGATTTTCAAAGGTCAGGCAACAATATTCACACCATATCAGTTGTTATTCTAACAGATGGCTTATATGAATATTGTTCTGACCACTGCTATGTTTGTTGTATCCCCATAGACCTGATGAGCCATTGGGTACTAAGAAAATGCACCATCAGCAATGGATATTGCATACATGGTGTGGTTGAAATATTATTATACAATTATTATACACACTTTTTTAAAAGGACTGTGGGAAATCAAATGAATGTAATATTAGAAGCAATAAGCTTAATATCATTTTCATATATCAAATATTAATTGAATATTAAATTCTTGTTGTCATGACCATCTTAGTCTAAACAAAATTACTAATTTTCTTTTTCTTTACTTAATACTAAGTACTAAATGTAGGATATAATCTACTGCCATGTTCAGTGAAATCCTGTGTATAGTTTGTGAACATGTCATAAATGAATCGTCACGTCTAAGCAAAGTCCTGGGTTTTAGAGCAGCTATTTTGAGAGTCCTTAAATTTAAAAATAGGTTGTAGGCAACAGTTAGTTTTAAAAACACACCTTAATTGTACTTGTGGATAATATTTCTTAATTTATTTTTCATAACTAACTTTTTGGGGTAAATATTCTTTAGTTATTAACCCTTTCCCTACAGGTAACCCTTTTCTGCACTTGTCTCAACTTTTTTACAGAGTTACATTCAAAATTTAATTAAACTACTTATTATTAATGTATATGAGGAAACTTGTTGTCAAATGTAGTTAATAAATCAAATTTTAATATTATATAAATTTTAATCTCTTAATTTTATAAGGAAATGTTTTTAAAAAAATCCTCAACCTTCCCTAGTATGAGAAGTACAGAATTTAATGTAAATTACTCATTATAATATAGTTATTACTTAGGCAAAGCATAATTTTTATAGCCTTCAATCTTATTTGTTTACAGGGCCATAAACTAGATAATCAGACCAACTTCCGATGCCCACCTGTCACATCCTCTCTTTCACAAGTTGCCAATAGTTCTTTCTGATGTTTAATGCTATATTATTCATAACCAATAGAAAGCCGAGGTTTTATTCTGTAAAATGATGTATTATATTAAGTTGTTTTCTATTCAAATAATTGTCTTTTTTTGCTTCAAGTTTGAAACTTTTCCTTCAGGAAACACATCAATGAGTTTATCACAGTTAGAGAGCCAGAAAAATTATGATTGTTGGAGAACATTGTTTGCTTTTTCCATGGTATTATACTGTGTTCTAAGGTGTATTGTTTAAATAAATAAAAAATTAATTTGTGAAGTAATACCATTAATATAAAAACATAGGGTTAAGTTTCACTGACAGTTGACAGCAAAAAACCACGAGGACCAAGATAAGTACAATATTTCTTGTTTTTCATGTGTAATCTTTATTTATTATTATAAAAGTAACTAAAATATAAACATTTGAAACTTATTAAGTTAGATTGGGTAAAATAATGAAAGATAAAATAATAATAATTCTTCATGAGGTAAGCTCGAGAGCAGCTTACGTAATTCAATGAGGGAATGTGAGATGCATGTTTGCCAAATTATTAGTTAGACATGATTCAAAGATCAACAAGCAATAAAATTCAGTATGAATAGATGTATATTATTATGAGCTTTAGGACATTTAGTATAAACAGTTGTGTTTTTTTGTTTTACAGTTTGCAGTCATTCTAGAATGAAAAAAGGGTAATTTAGATTTATTTTCCAATTTTTTTTTTGGTGGTTACAAGTATGGTCAAATTGACTGATCCCGTATAGAGTTAGGGTAGAGAAAATAATGGATAAATATAAAATTTGTGTGAAAAAAATAATAATATTAGGAGGGGTTTAGCGATTACGCAAATGAAATTTGCCAATTTTCAGATGAAAAGTATTTTTAATTTTAACATGAAAATCACTTTACACTCATAGCAGTCAACACTTTGACTCCAGATATTCATGCAGGAATTTTTAGTAAAAATACTTAATTAAGAAACTTGATTTTTTCTGTACAAAAGACTTGTATTGTTTACTGATAATCTATAAAGTTTTGTCAAAATACGTATACATTATCAGGAGTTATACTATGACTAATCTCATGGTTACTTTGATGGTTACAAATGAGGTACAATGCACCTCTCCCACATAGGAAAGAGATAAGAATCAATTAATGCAGCTTATTTGGAATGTGTATCCACAAGTACAATTTAGGTGTGTTTTTAAATCTAGTTGTTACCTACAATATTTTGAAGGTGATATCTTCGAAGTGTTCTGTGTAGAGGTTACTAGGTACTGGTTATAGGAATGAGCTTAGAAGTCAGAAAACCTGGATACTTCCCGTGAAACCATTCAGATAGTTTATTTAAGCTGTAATCAAGAAGACCCAGGATTCAGTTCTGGCACTTACCACCACAAATATTCCTTCTTAGACTTTCATGAAATGTCAGCAGATAGCATCCAAAACTTAAGATATAAACTGAAAAAATAATTAATTAATAATTAGACATTAATGATCATACGAACTATTGACTATGACAAGATTTATGTTCGATCACCACAACCTTACTACAAGTATTTAATGTTTTATTAAAATTAAGTCATAAACAGTTAACCAAAGAAAAGGATACTGCCGTGTGTGTTTAAAAAATAGACATAATGATTAACAAATTGGGCTTTTAAGAGCTTTATATATTTACATTGTATATATAAAGTGCACATACGTTTAACAAATAAGATCAAGATATAATTGCCAGATTATAAAAAAGCAGCACTAATGATTGCATATTTAAGACTTTAACTGAATATATATCAGTAAGTGGACAGAGAATATTTCTATTCTTTGTGATAGAATTTAAAAAAATTCTTTTTTATGTCATATGTGAAAAAACACATTAGAAGGGTATAATTGTGTCAGAAGACCTTATTCACGACAAGTCACATGATATATTACTTTCTTTGATGCCCGGCATGGCCAGGTGGATAAGGCGCTCGACTCACAATCTGAGGGTCGCGGGTTCGATTCC